GATGGAAGATGAAAAGAACGAGGGTGGCGGCGGAGGCGGAGGTGTGTGGGGGAGCTAACGAGGAGGGATCCGTTTAAACCAATCACGAGCGCGCTACCAACGGCGTGGCCAATGGCGCGGGGGGAGAGCTGGGAGCGGGCGCGAGATGGCATCATTGATTCTTAAGCGCTGACTGCTCATTCGCGCGGAAGCTGCGCCAGAGGGCGCTCCCAGCCTCCGGAGCTCGCCACTGGAGGGCGCTGGCGCCGCGCGCGCGCGCATGCGCAGTGAGACGGGTGACCGGAGCGGAGCGCAGCGCTGCGTGGCGGGCGCCGCACGCACGGCGCACTCACACAGCCGCCGACCGCCGCGGGCGCCGCTCCGCCAAGTTGGGTGTGCTTCGCGGCGACGTCCTGCCGCTCGTAGTCGGGCAGGACCGATATTCACCCCCTGGTACCTCATTGAAAATATACCGAACTAAAAATATGTTATGTTGATCTTGATTTCGTATTATAAATGTATGTGGAGAATCGTGAGGGTAGGTCAATAAAAGTTGTTTTTTTAGTGCTAATCTTTCAGCCATTTATTTAGCTTCCTTCATGGCTAAAATACATAATAAATACACGAGATAGTAAATGGAAGTAGTGAACACGATTTACTTTTATGTGTTTTCTTATATAATAGTAAATTGTACTAACTAGTTGAATTTACCAACTTCTGTATTTATTATATATTTAAAGTTCTGAAGCAGGCTGAAGAAATGGCCCAAAACTTTAACACTGTATAAAATAAACAACTAACACTTATTGATCTACCCTCACAATTCATCAGATATTTGACAAAAAATAGTTTATTTTAATATGCGTTTAATTGATAAACCATTAATGAACTTATTGTAATATAAATAAATCACATATTATTGAAAATAACAATATATTATAGTCTGGGTTTAAATTTAAATCATTTCTAGACGATAATAATAGCATGTATTGAAAGATTGACAAAAATAATTATGGTTTTGATGTTTCATTTTCAGATTTTGTTAAAATTCAAATAATTAATTGCAAGTCCAGTTAAGTTACAGATCCAATTGTAAATTAAATAGCCGTTCTTGCCAATAAATTCAATTTAAAAAAAGTATTTTTTAATGTCCCGTTTAAATATTTTCTGCATCGTCTTTGTTCTATAAGTCCCTGCCAAAGTGGGTCACAGGAGAGAACAAGCACTTTTTGTGTAAACGTTTCATTTTAAAGATATTGCAACTTTTGTAACGGTTTGCAAGTATTCAAATAACTTAAAGCCCATGATCATTTCCACACGTACACATGCCGCTTTTACCTCGACTCTTCGATTTCTATTGAAACACGTTTTGCTTGACGGATTTTTATTAAAGAAATGACCTCTTAATTCAGTGCTCATAATGTGAAAAAATGTAATGGGCCTTATACGAAGTCGATGGCTCGTTAACTAATTGACTTCAAATATTATGTGGTTTTCCATTTTATTACAATTTTATATATTTATCAATAAGTAATATTAATAATACCTAATATTATTAGTATTATTATATTACTTATTAATTATATAAGTATTATATATAAATATCTAATTGGTTAATTATTTATTACATGGAAAATACGTGCATATTCTTTAGGTCCATGGGAGGGAGGTTCCATTGCCCACACCATCCCAACCCTTTCTGCCACCGGCCCCTCGTACACGGAAGGGACGTTGTGATACGTTCGATAGGCGCAGTCTCAACATTCTGTGTTCGATATTCCCAGTAGGAGTAGCAGGAGCGAAACAACGGGGTCCATAATATTGTGATATCGATACTAAATATACAGTGTTGACATCGATGGAAATTGACGAATAGAATGTAATATTCGTGTTTTTACTTTTGGGACATTTTTCTTCTAACTTGGGATCCTTGCACTTTCTGTTACTATTACGGAAGAGATACATTGATTTCCCCATTAAAAACAACTTGGAAGAATTATACAAGAAGTAAAATGCATATATTTATCTTTTATGAAAACCGATGTTGGGAGTAATAGATCCTTGATGTTAGTAATTTGTTTATTAAGTTATCTCGTAAATAACAAGCAAAATATAGCAGTCGAGACGTTATTTAATTCACGAATTATTCTTATTGTACCTGAAATACTATGCCAAACGTATATTCTGTTTTTCTTTCTTGCAAGATAATATTATTTCTTCATTATTTTATTTTGAGGAGACTATGATCTCCCAAACCCTTCCCATTGCATTAGTCTTTGCTTTTTCTTAATGACTTTTCTACTTTTAATATTGTTAGATTTTGGTGAAAAGGGATACATATGTTCTCGTATTAATTGTGATGTCGTTGTCAAGACGTAAATAAATATACCCTTTTGTACTACTTTCCTGTGTTAATATTAGATTCACATGCCATTTTCTTATAAATTTATCTTTCAATTTTTCTTAAGGCAATATATTAATTCGCACATCTTACTATCAAAACAATAATTACGATCAATAGATTATGCTTTCCTGTATGTTCGTGCAACGCTCTAACACAGGATATTAAACTGTCAATAAATTAGTTTCCTATTTTATGTCATACTAGTACATCATTAAAGAACGTTCTTCTCTCCAATGTATTAAAACTACGGAAGGTTTGGAGAAGTAGGATTCTTTTGCAAGTCTATTATTCAAGCATTCGCACATTATTTTCGAGAAAAAAAATTATATTCAGTGTGAATATAAAATAGTTATTGAAAAATAAAGCAATATCCATTTTGAAAAGATAATTTTCATCCCTTCACATTATTTTCAGTTCACGAGTAATTTAACACGTACCAAACCAGACTTTAAAAATATAATAGCTTATGGGTTTTTGTGATGCGTGTGTTAATAACACTGTTCTCTTTCTGGCTATTTTAGGTAATACACATTTGTAATTTCCATTGGAAAACGACTTTATGATGCGATTTATTTTCATTGAACTGAAAAAACATTACAACAAATTCATTGCTTCAAAAAATAATTATTAATTTCAATACATTAACCATTTTTGTTGCTCTGGCGTCGATGTGCAGAGTAAGTACACAATTCGAATTCAGGACTAACGTACGGAATAAAAACTTATTAAATAGTCATTAAAATACGTCGCACATATTTGGTTTACATGTTTTGATTATACAAGAGAATTTTACGAGGAATATTTGAAAAGCAATTCTGAGATTAACAATATTCGATCGCCAGGATGAAAACGATACCGAAATAATACTAATTGATAATAATAATATCAATAATAATAATAAATATTTTCTTTACTTCGCAAATACGAAAACCATTTGTACAAATAAAGTATATGACACATTTATTAGAAATAAAGGCAAGGGTGGTCAAAACGTTACTCCTCATATAGTGTTGCTAGTAGTTGTTTTATTTTTTTCGAAAGAGATCGTAAATTTTTGTTAAAATTTACTCTTTTTGTTTAGAAAAAATGGTAATGTTTAGGAAACGTTCTTAACATTACTATGTTGCATTAAACTGAACTGAGATAAAACCACAGCAAATATTAAATGCTAAAAAAAATAGATTTTGCAAGTAAAAATGCAGGAACTAGCAAATAAAACACGATAGTAATTATTTGAAAATTTGGGTTATATTGAACTGCCGCTAAAATATTTACTGAGAAATGCTATTCTTCTTTCTTTTAACAAAGCCATTCCATTGGAAGTTCATTTAGTGACCGCCGTAATTAGTCTTGGATTCTTTATTTGTAGTTCGTTCCATTCCTCACCAAGGAGCGAAAGAATGTAGAAAGTAATGTGTACAAAGTTTAGCTGTGTTTTGATCCTTTATAAACATCGTGTTATCATCGCGGTTTATGAAGAGAAATCACAATATTGCGAAAAATATTGTATTTTTGCTATGGTTTCAAAAGCGTCCTCTGTCTTTTTAAGACGGTGTAGTTTAAGGGCATTAGGCAGGCGGCGAATTTTGGGGGATTTGCCATATGATGGTAGTGGAATAGTTATTTATGATTGAAGAAGTAAATGTGACATTTTATTTTGTGAAAAGGAAAGTTGCAACACGGGGCCGAGGTCGAATGACGCAATCGTTCGGGAAGAATATAATCACTTTTACCACGTGACGTACTGTATTTTTAGGCAGTCTTGCTGATTTTAATTTTATTTTTATTCTTGTATACAAAACATATAATAATATGTTAAGATCAGTAGTAGCTAATGCTTTCAGACCTTAAACATGTGCTATCTGAAAAACCCATTTGAAAAAATTGCAATAGGCAATAAATTTCTACGTAGAATTATTAAAACTTATTCAGATCACACAAATTCATAGAGAAATACGAATTGAACCTCTTGACCAATATATCGAAACCCTAACAAAACTTCTCCCCTCTCTCATCTTCATCTTGCACAAATACTAATAGGTTAGCTGGAAC